TTTAAAATTACTTTTAAAATTTTAAGTAGAAATGATCATTGTATAAAAAGGGTCAACAAAAGGAAATACAGATTATTAACAAAGTAATAGAGAACATGAGGCAATGTGTTTGTCCAGAATTGCCTTTTAATAAATGAAATAATATTGGAAGAATCTATATCAGGGTTTTTCTGTAACTATTTTTTTAACCTTTTTCACAAAGTATTCACAGCTGTGCACTACTACCCAGCTCAAGAAATAAAGCACTATCTAAAAACCAAAAACAAACAAGAAAGATTCATTGTTGAAGAGGTATCAAACAGGTTTTTCTTTTTCAACACCATGTGCGCGTTGGTAAGAACTCCATTTAATGTTCTGTATTGAAGGGGAGACACCCGGGGTTGCAGTCCATAATTGCTGCACAGCAGCTTCTGTGAACATCCCGTGCAGGACTGCTCCCCTCTGTCCTGGGGTGATGAGGAGTGACTCACCTCGTGGCCTCACTGGGGAAAGCAGCATGGAGTGGGCACCCACTGATAGCTCCCCTCCAGCAGGTTTTTAGGGGCTGGAAGGAATTGCACATTTTCCCCCCAAGGAGTTCCTGGTGGATTTCACCCTCCAGAGAGACGCGATCCTTAGATGAGCCGTGAAGTCCAGCTGACTTCCTCCCGAGCGGCCTTTAGAAGAGAAGAGTGGTGCAGGTCCATCCCACCTCCTCCCAAGCTCTCGTCCCGAGGACACTGCACTAACCCGAAGGCCAGCTGCTCCGTGGGAGAAGGATGGGCCAGCTCTCCCTGCAGTTAACTGTCTCTGAAGACCTGCTGGAGGGTCAGCTACAAGTTCTGACTTGACAGCAGTGAGCTTGTTGTATTTTTATGAATTAAGATTAACTCAACAGAATATATAGAAGGAGCTCTGATGGCCTAGTGGCTAAGAATCTGCACTGCAATCCCAAAGGCTCGTGGTTCGAATCCTCCAGCTGCTCCGTGGGAGAAGGACGGACAGTCTCCTCCCGTGTGATTAACTGCCTCTGACGACCTGCTGGACGGTCAGCTAGGGATCGGTTCTAACTTGACGGCACACAACAATAAACAACAGAATAAAGAAACAACAACCTATTTAATGAAGCCAAGAAGTAAGTCGGTGTTTCCGATAAAGAGCCTTTTCTTCTGACTAGAAGTTAGGGGAGTTCTTTTCCAGTTGCACGGAAGCACGTACTGGTTTTTCACATACAGTTTTCCTAAATTTTCTTTCACTGTAGGTCACTGAGCAAATGAATTTGCATTCAGCTGTGTATACACACTTGGTTTAGGATATCGGCCTCCCCTCTCCTCCCAGGGCTCAGCCTGGCTGCCTCTCAGGGACTTTGCCCTTGAACCTACTTGGTTGGTTGGAGGCAGGGCTGTCCTCTGGGCTGGTGCAGACTGTCTAAGCAGGTGACAAGGTGAGCGAGTTCTCACGACCTCCCCTTTTCCCCTGCCCCGCTCAGGCCTTGGAGAGCGAGTTTGTGTCCTGTCAGCTTCACCAGTGGATCGACCTCATCTTTGGCTACAAGCAGCGAGGCCCAGAAGCCGTCCGTGCGCTCAACGTCTTCCACTACCTGACCTACGAGGGCTCCGTGAACCTGGACAGCGTCGCCGACCCGGTGCTGCGCGAGGTAGGTGTCTCTCTCTGGCAGACACAGTTGACTGACTATCTCTTTCTGCGTACATTTCCTTTCAGCATAACATTTACCACTGATTTCAGCTCCTTGACAAAGTGGGGAAACGAATATATTCTCTGTGGAAAATACTCCTGAGTCTAGAGGATGTTCCTTTGAGGTGTAGGTGTACATAATGTGCTGCAGTGCTCTCCTCTTATAGTTGAACACCAGTATTTTCAAGAACATGCTTCAGGAACAAAAGCTACTTTCTTAAGGAAGGCTGGTGACACGGGTGTTACCACAGTGACAGCGTGTCACGTGCCACACTGCTGACCAGAAGGGACACTGTGGGTCCAGTACCCAGGAGAAAGGTGGCAGGCAGCCCCCCCATGCAGATAGATCTACAACCTCAGAAACCAGTGGTTGTTGCTGTGTGTTGTCGAGTCAAAACCGATCCACAGCTGACCCCCAGGGGGTTTTCAGAGGCTGTAATTGTTGGGAAGGAGACTACCTTCTGGTGGATTCGAACCACGTGTGTCTGCACTGAGAGTGCAGCTCCGTCCCTCACAGTCCCCAGAGCACCCAGAAAGTAATAGGGGGTCTCTGTGCGTCACACTGCAGTCATTAGGGGTGCATGGATGCAGTGTGTATTTGGGTGACACAGTGGAAAAATGCTCAGCTACTAATAAAAAGGTTGGTGGTTCAAAGCCATTTAGCAGCTCCATGGACATCTCCTTCCATAAAGATGACAGTGTGGACAGCCCTGTGGGCAGTGGGGACTCTGATTGCAGTGAGCTCGCCGGCATCAACAATGACAACAGTGGAATAGATAAAGGCTAATATTTCACAATATGTTTTTTATAAGAGCAAAATGACAACCTTGTATTTTTTGGAATACTCAAAAGAATGCTTTGGAAATGACATGAGGTTGTAGATTTACCCCTCTTCAGGCCTCATGCTGCTGTTGGGACTGGGGCACTGTGCTGTGCGTGCACAGGGCTTAGATGAAAACCGCCATGGGAAGGCCTGGCCCTGTCACTTCCTTGTGGTGCAGACATGACAGGTGAGGACACGACTGAATGGGAGGGGCCCATCCACAGAAGGGGGGCCTCTTGTTCCTCTGAGAGCTGCCCCCCTTCTCAGCACACGAGGCAGCTGCTGTCAGCTCCAGGGCCAGGAGCACTGGTGTTAAAGGTTCTTATTCTCCAGACTGCAGCAGGGAAGCACCACCACCAAACACATTTACACCCACAACATTGTGTCTTAGACTCGGTGAAAATGAAGCATCTGCTGGCCCCGAGCAGATACAGGGGAAGGAGCAGAGCACATCTAATCACCAGTCTTAGTGTAGAAGACTGCGTGCAAATGTTCTGACAACACGTAGAGAATGCCATCAAGTCAGGACAAAGGGACAGGATGGAGGAGTGACCTGAGGGCGTGAGGTGAGAGGACCGTCCACAGTGTAAGAGCAGGATGGAGGGGTGGGCCTGAGGCTGAGGATGTGAGAAGACCGTGCACTAGTGTAAGAAACAGGATGGAGGAGTGACCTGAAGGCGTGAGGTGAGAGGACCGTCCACAGTGTAAGAGCAGGATGGAGGGAGAAGGGAGGGGGTGAAGAAGGAGGTGAAAAGAGTGTGGAAAGAAAAAAGACAGAAAGGATTCACTTTTTATTTTACTTTATTTAAGTCTTTTTAGAGCAAATTACTTTCTACTTGATTTTTTTTAAACCAAGTGTTTGATGTGCTTTAATGAAATAGGAATATACTTTAAAAAAAATAACATAGATTATGATACATTTAGTGGAACACATGTATCCAAAGGGACCTCTGGTCCTAGAATTGGTGGCCTGAGTGAATCCAGTTCTTCAGATACACTGAGTCATGGCCCCATCAGAAGACAGCGTCCCACTGAGCCCCAGAGATGGAACTGTAGGCAAGTGGGCTGTGCCTCAAATCAGCAAAGGGTCAACCATAGACTCTCCTCATCATATACCAACCACGATCAAGTTATTTTCTCAGAGAAAATTCTGAGCTTATTTATTCTTTTAACTGTGTATCTTTTTTTTAAAATACGCCAGTTCTACCAGATTCTTACAAACTTAATGTTCTTTGTTGAACCAGTACCTTTTGTTGTTGTTGTTATTGTTGTTGTTATGTGCCGTCAAGTCGCTTGCGACTCATAGCGACCCTATGTACAACAGCCCTAAACTCCGCTCTGTCCTGTGCCAATCGCACTGTCTCTGACACTCCCATCCCAATTACCCCAGTCACTGAATCAATCCACCTCATAGAGGGCCTTCCTCTCCTGCGCTGTCCCTCCACCATCCCAAGCATGATGTCCCTCTCCAAGGACCGGTCCCTCCTCACAACATGTCCAAAGTATGTTCGACAGAGTCTCAAAATCCTTGCCTCCAAGGAGCCGTCCGGTTTAACCCTTTCCTGGATGAATCTGTTTGTTTTCCTAGCAATCCATGGTACCCTCAATACTCTTCTCCAGCACCACAGCTCAAAGGCATCAATTCTTCTTCTATCCTCCTTGGTCATTGTCCAACTCTCTGATGCATAACAGGTGATTGTGAAGACCATGGCCTGTATCAGACGCACTTTAGTCTCCAACGTGACACCACTGCTCTTCAGCACTTTGGAGAGGTCCCTAACAGCAGACTTTCCCATGGCAATGCGCCTTTTAATTTCCTGGCTACTGGTGCCAAGAGTGTTGACTGTGGAGCCAAGCAAACTAAAGCTGTGAACAATCTCAATCTCTTCACCATCCATCCTGATGCTGCCAATTGGTCCAGTGGTGAGAATCTTTGTCTTCTTGACATTGAGCCTCAATCCATATTGTAGGCTGCAGTCCTTGACACTCAGCAGCAAGCGCTTCAGGTCCTCCTCAGTTTCAGTGAGCAGGGTTGTGTCATTTAGGATCAGAAAAAAGAAAATATTTGCATTCATGTCATTTCCCAGCTGGATTATATGGGTAGTTTTGTTCCCAAAAACTCCATTTTGCCTTTCAGTTAAGAGGAAATTTGTAGGTTCCTGCGCATAGAAAAGGTCCTTTCATTGCTGTGCGTGTTATGGAAGAGCAGAGCAGCGTCAGCTCTGACAGAAGAGCAGGATTTTCCTGTAGGAATTAGAGTTTTTGAAAGTTGGGTAAATGACTTAATGAAAAGAGAATGCCATAGACTTCTTTCCAGGCCTGGAGTGTGTTTCATTTGAGGCCCACACGAATATCTGCTTCTTTGAAGGTTGCACCTGTTCCCTTAACTGAGCAGTGTTGCTGGTACAGTGGGCAAACTCGACACTGTAGGCTGAAAGGTTGGAGTTTCCAGTCCACAGGCCACTTCTCTGGAGAAAGGCGGGATGATTTAGATCTATTAATTTCCCAGCCTTAATGACCCCACACTCCCAAGGTGAGGCAGCTCTGCTCTGCCCTGTGGAGTCACTGGGCATCACTATCAACTTGGAAATGACTAGAGATTTTTGTTTCATTGCTTTCTAGGTTTTAATTGTCAGCTAGTATTTCCTATGAGATCACCTGAAAGTGTATCGTGTTCAAATACTTTCGTTCAATGGAGTGGCTCAGCACAGCCTTTGTAGATGGGGCAGGTGGCATGAGCCATGAAGACTGCCTGTCCTAGACCCGTATGTGCCACGTCTGTCCTCTTCACAAGGCAACCTAAGCACAAAGAGGTTTACTCCTGTGAGGGTCCATGCAAGAGACACAGTGCCTCAGGGAGCACCAGGAGTGAGCATCCTCGCCTACTCCCCCAGGGAGCCCGGACCCTCCAGGGAGCCTGGACCCATCTCTGCCAAAGTTGCAGGCAGTGCTGTTCTTCCATCCAGCTCCACAGGGTCTTTATACAAGGCTTCCCCTTCTTCGTTCTCTTGTTTTTTTCGAGCGGTGGAGTCGAGTACCATTCATAATGACCTTATCAACTAATCTGAGCTCTGGCCTGCTAGTACTTTTCTAAATACCAAGATTACCACCTTTAGCGTAGAACAAAAGCAAAGGAAAATTAGTTACTTTGGCCTCATGCTAAACTTAGCCAGCCTAAGGAAGATGGGTGAGGTTTTTGTTTGCTTTATGAGTTTTAAGGTGTCATTTTTAAAATTAATGCTTCAGTTAAGCACTGATATTTTTAAAATATAGACCTATTTCATATATAAATATCTGCATCTGTCTTCTTTGTCTGAAATGAATGCTTCCACAGCCAGCCTTAGGCATCTTGGTTTGACTCAGTGCTAAGAGTCACACAGCTCTGGGAGACTGACTCATTCCTGCTGCAGGTGGGCAGGTGGGGTCACGAGGCAGCACCAGCACCACAATTATGGCATTAATGTCAAGAAATTAGAGGTCAGGAGAGCAGACCATTTTCTTCTCCATGTCAGATTAAATGTTGACATTGTTTGACAGCGCAGGATCTCTGGCAGTGCCAGTTATGACAGCTTCACTTATCTTAGCCTTGTAAAGCAGTACTTGATGAGCAGTATGATTATGACGGCCTTCTGGGCAGGAACATGACAGAGCAGCCCGTACAACGCTCTGCTAACTCGTAAATGCGCACCTTGGAGCAGGTTACCATTTCAGTTCTCCGAGCCCTGACTGACATGATAACCGCCTGGACCTGGGCAGAGGCGGACTCACGCCCTGGCACTCAGGTTCATGTGAACGTGCTGGAGGCTTTCTGGTTATTCTGACCACATCGTGCCCTGTGACGTGCTGACGTTGCTAGTGTCAGCCCGTGGTCTTCCCATGCTTGCAGTTCCATGCTGGGCCAGGGGTCAGCACGTCAACATCACCTGCAAATAGACTGATGCTTCAGACCCACATCCTGCCATCCCCTCTCTCTGAGCTAGGTCCCAGGGCTGCCCACACCTGAAAGAGCTATTAGAACATTCTGGAAGGTGTCTTCGCCGCCCTTCCAAACAAAACTATTCCATAGTGAACCCTCATAGGCCAACCATCCCAGTTCTAATTTTTAACTCTTATTTCACCTACACTAAAATATACCTCTG